GGCCAGGACGAGGCGGCGGCGGCGGCGGCGCCGGCGGCGCGGGGGGCTCGGGCTCGGGCTGATGGCGGCGGCAGCCGCCACCCCCGGGACTGTGCTCTCCCCGCGGCTGTGCGACAGCGACCCGGCTACGCCCGGAGGCCAGTCCCCGAAGGTGAGCGGGGCCGAGAGCGGGGAAGCCTTCGGCCTGCAGGGTCCCCGGGCTCGTCCCGCCTGGGGAGCCCCCAACGGCGGCCCTAGCCCATGGGGACGCCAGGCCTCTTGGGGGCCGGGCGAGGCCGGGGGCGTCCGGACCGGGTCAGGGTACCCCGGAAACAGGTGCAGGCGGGCAAGCTCCAGGGAGGGTCACTGCAGGTCCAAGTTAGGGCCACAAGCTAGTGAAGTTGCCCGGGACGTGCCCGTCAGCTTCTCTCTGAAAAGTCCGGCCCCAAGCTGTCAGCGACCGTGAAACTGAAAACACGGAAGAGGAAAGGGAGGCCACTTTATGATTCCTCGTCCCCAAGTTAAGAAGCGGGGCTTGCCCTTCCCCACTGCCCCAGTGGGTCGTTACTGCGTGATTTTTAAACTGCCCCCACTCCCCAAAGTGTTCTCAGAAAGCCCCGGAGGCACTTAATCGTTCCCCTGAATCCTAAAAACAAAGTCTTCCTTGGTCTCTGATCCCACTTAATTTATCCCCACTAGGGCGTCCCCGACTGGTTTCTCTAGTCTTTAAGTATAATTTGATACATACTTGAGGCCCTGGAGATAAGTTTCAACAGTTCGGATGGCTGCCTAGAAATGACTTTTTAGTTAGTTTTTTCCTTTTTTGTTTGTGGGGTTTGTTCAAGAGTGGATATTAACTAGGATCTTAAGTTCACTGTGAAAAGTTTTTGAAGTTCCTGGATAATGCAATAGGAACTGTAAAGTGGAAAGTTTTTTTTAACTAGTTATATTTTTGTAGTGTCCACATGGATGAAGTCACAAATCCATTGGAATATTGAAGTAATACTAGTAATTATTTTAAGGTATTAAATTTACAGTGAGTCATTAGTTTACTGGACAAGTTAATATAGTATAACAGGAAAAGAACCTAATTCAGGAGACCTTTTTCATTCAAGACACCTTGTGTTTTACTCCAGAACCTTGTTTACAAAGTAACTTTTCTGCCTCTTTTTGAAAAGAGGAATTAGATTTATTCTGTTTGGACTCGGGGCAGATCTAGCAGAAGCATTGAGTGGAATTTGCAAAAGGGCAAATTTAGATTTCATGTTAGTAAAAACTTAAAAATTTCCAAAAGTGAAATGGATTGCTTCTGGAAGTAGTGGGTTTTCTTTCATTGATGGTCTTCAAGCAAAGGCTGGATAACCACTTGTGGCATTATGTTGTGGGGATTTTTTTTTCACATTCTTGTTACGAGAGCACTGGCCCAAATTGTAATGAAAATTGTTCCTAAAAATATGAATAGCTTTTTTCATTATTCATTATAAGTACATCATTTTACTCGATCCTCAACCATTTGAATTAGGAAATTCAAGTATTATAATCCTCACATTACATAGGATCTCAACACAGCTTAGGTATGGAGTCAGCCTCTTGAGTCTGTAAGACCTACTAACACATGCTAGTTTTATGACCCTAAATAAGTCACTTAATCTTTAAGGGCCCAGGGCAATTTTTTTAGGTTGTACAGTTGAGTATCAGGTGCTGATGTTTTCAGACTAGGAGTTCGCTGCACATTGAAATCGAAGATGCAGTTCCTTCCTCCCTTCAGGAAAAAAAAATAAAAAAACCAAGAAGATTTGTAGAAGTTCTGACTTATCTCTAGCTAGTGACAGAACTGAAACTTCAAATGTGACAGTGAGAGATCTAAATCCAAAGTACTACATTGTCTCCACTCTGTGATGTAAATGCTACCTATTTTAATTTCATTTTTGAATATTTGTTTAGATTTTCAGAAGTGTGAATCTGAGCCAACATTTTTCTTTTTTTAAAAAAGTAGACTAAAAAATTAAAAAAAATTACCGATCTTAGAAAAATAAATCAATCTTTGACAAAAAATTAATAAAGTATATGTTCAAGATAATACAAAAAATGGAAACAACATAAAACCATAGGAGCATTTTGATATTTCTGACATTTTTATTTGCATTTTTTTCTTTGAATGCATTTTTTAAGTACAAACTAGGAAAATAGAGATGTTCCTGTTTTGCAAGGGGGAAGAACTAAGGACAAAATGCTAATTTAAATATTTAAATAAATAAATAAAATACTAATTAAATATTAAATATATGAAAGGACAGAGAAAGTATCCAAATGAGCATATATAATCTTAGAAGTTAAAAATATTTTGTAGCTTAAAAGTTATGACCAAATGTTGAAACAGAAGCAAATACTTTTAAAAGCTCATTTTAAGATCTAGTATACAAGTTGAAATATAGTAGTCAGACAATGAACAAGCACTTACTATATTTCAGGCTAAGTGCTAGGGATACAAAGAAAGACAAACACAGATCCTGCTGTCAAGGAATTCACCTTCTAAGGGGAGAGCCAACCTATAAAAAACTATGCGCTAATAATAAGAAAACTATCTCAAATTAAGAATGGCATATGTAACCACTATATAGATTTGGAAAATGTCTTCTTTTTTTTTTTTCAATTGGAATTCTTTTACTTTGGAACCATGATTTCATTGGTATGGATATTCCCTCCGATGATGAAGATCACAAATCCTCTGAACATTCGTAATATACTTCCTCTGGCTCTTGTAAGATCTCAGTAGTACATAGCAAGCACCAGGGTTTTCTATTACTCACTTTTGATTTTCACTATTATCACTGACCTACCACCTCTTTTTAGTTTCATAATCTTTTTATCTTTTATAGCATTTTTACATCTTGGTAATATTCTGTAGCCAACCTTAAAACCACCAGCAAGATCTTCATTGCCCTTTGAGTTACTTGTAATTTTTATTTTTCTAACATTGTAGTGTTGCGTGATTTGCAGTTATAGCATCATCAGAAGAATAATGTACAGTGCTAAAGAGATGCTAGATTCCAGCATTCAAACTTCACAGAACAAATCTCCTTAGTAAAAGGATTTGTTCTGTGAAGTTTGGATTCAGCTAAAGGGACGCACTTGAGGATCTAGAGGGCCATGTATGGCCTCGAGGCCGCAGGTTCCCCACCACTGTCAGCTGGAACAACATCTGCCAGAAGAGATCAGGTCTAATCATATTTGGAAAACTAAACAGTGCTTTATTTTTAAAAATAAGTTTTTATTGATTTAGTTTGTTTTTACATCATTTACTTTTCCCAATGGGTCTCTCACCCTTTCCAGAGAACCATCTCTTAAAGCGGAAGAAAGTTTGACAAAAGGAACCAACAGATGAAGATAGGTAACTATTGGATAGTGCCATCCACTGTGGCAGCAAGCACTTTGTGATTGTTGAAAGCACTGCTCACCTATGAGAGGACACTTCCATCTGCTTCTTTCTAATGATGGGGAACCATGGGTATGGAACACTATGTAGGTGTCAGAATGTTCCAGTATACTAATACTACTAATAACCAACATTTATGTAGCACTTTAAAGTTTGCAGTAGTTAATAAACATTTATTAAAGCACCTAAAATGTGCCAGCACTGTGCTAAACTCTAGAGATACAAATACAAAAAAACAGAAAAACAGCCCCTGCCTTCAAGGAGCGTACAATCTGAGACAACATACAAAAGAAAGCTGAAAGCGGGAATGGAGAGGTAACACATGGGAGCATGGTAAAGAAGTCGGAGAAATCTCAAAAGTAGTGCAGCCAGGTGGGAAATGAAGAGAGCTGGATGTAGGTTATCTCCTTTGACTATCACAACAACCCTGGGAGGTAGTTGCTATTATTTTCCCTGTTTTACACATACAGAAACTGAGGCAACCAGAGGTTAAGTGACTTGCCCAAGAGTCACACAACTATTATATGTCTGAGGCCATCTTTCTGATGCTAGGTCCAGTATTCTGTCCACTGTGCTACCTATCTTCATCTGTTGGTTAGTTTTGTTGAACTTTTTTTCTCTCTTTTTTTTAAATTATTCTGGGAGGGGTGGAAACGAGGGATCCTGTGGGAAAAGTAGTTGATATAAAAATAAAATCAATAAAAAACAAAATAAAGCACTGTTCAGTTTTCTAAATATGATCTGCTCTGACCTCTTCCTCATTTCTGGTGCCAGCTAATTGTCCCATATGTGATGCCAGTCCAAAATATGTATGTTGGTATACTGACTTCTTAAAATTTTCACGTAGCTGCTTAGCATAGTCTGGGCCATGTGTTATTATGACTGAACTCTGCTAGGAATGAATGGTGGAACAGAGCACAGGTTCTGTAGTCAAGAGATCTGCTTTGAAATTTAGGTTGTCACTAGATGTGTGACCATGGGCATATTACTTGGTTTTCTCATCTGTAAAATGGGCATAATCTTTCTATAGCTATATCAAAGGGTTGGTTTGAAGAAAAAACTTTGTATACCTTAGTGCTGTATAAACAGGAGTTCTGGGCTTGCTATGTTAGTACAATGTACAGTGCAATGATCACGTCTGTGAATAAGCATATATGGCCTTAATAACAAATCTCTTGTTTGGGCTCTGCACAAGACGGTGACATTCTCAACTTAGAAAAGCATATGTATTTCTGTATGCACTTTGCTAAATGTCAATACTCAGATTGTTGAAGTAGTCTTTATTGACTTATATGTGAAAGATATTTTGAGGAGGGTCTTCAAAGATGAATTTTTTTCTTCTGTATTAAAAGCTTTTTGAAAATCAGTAATAGACATAGCTAGATGTTACATTTTATATATGTCAAATTTGTAATCAGAGAAATGGTTGGATATAGAAGACCATTTTTGAAAGCCTACCTGTACTGTTACCACATTTTCACCAAATATACTTTTATTGCCTGCATAGACCAGTTGCTTATAAAAATACTGACTTAAAAGTTCCATTTTACATTTTTGTCTATGCCTTGGGCCTCTTATTTCTGGATTACAATCCATGTTTTCAACATATTCTTCACTGACTTATACTAAGTCCACTTTTGCACTGAATTCAGCATGTGTAATAGAATGTTTTCTTAGTTTGGAGGAGCTTGTCAAGTTCTTAATAGAATTTCTCTTCTTCATATTTTAACATATGTTGGCACAGATTAATAATTGTCTTCCTAGTGGTCTATTTGCTCACACATAACTTATGTTGCAAAGCAAGGGGATCAAGTGTCTTGTGAAATGTTTCCTTTTGACTTTATCTGTATGATGAATTCAATTCTGCAAACTCCTTTATGCCTTTGTTTTACCTGTGACCCATTCTTGTGTTTAGTTAGTTTCTTTTATCTTTTTTCATTCATATTAAAAATGTATAGATACGATCAGTTTATCCAGTAGTGTCATGTTGCCAGGTCTTTGAACCAAAATCTAATATTAAGAGTGCTAGTTGTTGTGGGCCAAGATGCTAGTGGATTCACAGCATCTTGAATTAACCCTCTGAACCCCATGCCACTAACCAGGGTAATTGTAAGCCAGGAACCCTGAAACAGATCCAAGTCAGTTTGAATTCACTTCCAGGTGGATTGATGCCAGACTTAGTTGTGAGCCCTTTTTGCAAGTATATAAGGACCCCTCTATGTATTAAGCAGCAGGCTTGTAAGACTTCATACAATCTTCTTGTAGGGCTTTAACTTGGAGTCACTGAGTATATTTTCTTAAAGTAGTTGCTTATCTCAGTTCTCGGGCTTCAAGTGATCCATTGCAATGGGTACCACTTCCTGGGTACCTGCAGTTAAGTTTATGACTGTAGATGATCTAACAGCTGTTATCCTTAGTACTACATTCTGTCTTCCACCACTCTTTCAGCTTCACCATGTAGGTAACTAAAAATTTCCTAAAAGTTGGAGTTCTCAAAAAGTAAAACAGGCTGCCTTGGGAGATCATGGTTTCCCCTTCACTTGAAGTCACTCTAACCATTTGCTGAGTATACTGTAGAGGGAATTTTTGTTCAAATACAAGTTGGACCAGGTACATTCCAGTTGGCATTCTGTGAAGTGGAAAGGGGCTGTACAGTACAGATAACCATTTTGTGGGGGCTTTTTGATGGCTGGCTTTTTTTTTTTTCCTGTTTAGGGCATCTCCTTGGACAAAAAAAAAATATTCTTTACTTGGTAGTCAATCTCATGACAGTTTTTTAAATTTAGCTCTGTAATTATTTTAGTAGCAGATTTATCCAAGACTTTGCCAGCTTGGTAGAACCTGCCAAACTTTGGATCCTGATGGCATAGCTTTTGAGAACCTAGGGAAGCCATCATAGAAAGACTTCTTTAAAGGATCATATTGATAAAGTTATTTAAAAATAGAAATACAGGCATTCATATGTTTTGCCACTAAGCTTGTTTATTATTACCTAAATATTTCTTTCCATCAAAGTTCTTTCCCGATGTCTTGTGGGATGGCAATAATCCTCTCTTCTAAAATCTGCCATTAGTAAGTACAAGCCTTGGCAAGTTGTTCTAATCTAGAAAGCCTTTGTCTAGTTTAGACCACAGATTGTGTGTGCATGTGTCATTCAGGAAGCTGCCTAGTTAAATTTGTGGAGGCTTGTTGACAAGAAGTTTGACCACTAGTTGAGTTATCTTGAGCACAAGCAACTCATGAAGACTATACATTAACGCATGAAGTGGTTATGGTCTTCAGTGGTAGAAAAAGTGCCTACATTAATGAATCAATGGTCTTTTGAGGTTGAAGCACAAATAAAAGCCTTCTCTTCTTTAGGCCATTCCTTTTGATTCAATAGTTTTGGAGCAGATGAAAACAAATTCACTCAGGATACAGCTTTATGTGCTTTAGTTCAACCTTGTATGTCTCCAAGAAAATGTGATGTCAACACTTAAATGCAGATTTCTAATTCAGTCTTTTCAGAGGTCCTCATTTTAAAACCTATTGGTAACTATCAATCAACAAGCAACAGCCCCTTAGGCAACTCATTGAAAAAGAACTCTTATCTTTCCCTTCAAGCTCACCCCTCTTCTGAACTTCCCCATTTTTTCTGAAGACCATTAGCATCCTTCCAGTGACCAGGTTCACAATGTTGTACTTATCCTTGACTCTTCTTTCTCCATATCTAATCAGTTGCCAAGTCTTGTAAATTCTGGTAAGTTCTGCTACTGAAACATAACATCTCTCATCTCTCCCTTTCTGTTTGCTCAAACGGGTATCATCCTAGTTCCAATCTTCATCACTTCTGGCTTGGACTATTGCAGCAGCCTCCTCATTGTTCTCTCTGCCTCAAGGCTCTTCCTGCATCCTCCATACAGGGCAAGTCTTACCATGTTACTCCTTGATTCAATAAACTCAAGTGGCCAAATTCCTAGAAAAAGTTGATACTTGTTGCCTCTGCTTCCTTTCCTCTCACTTCTCCACTTGTTCTAATTTGGCTTCCAACCTCATGGCTTAATTAAAACTGCTCTTTCCAAAGTTAAATGTCATTTGACATTGTGGACTCACTCCATCCTCACATATATTCTCTTGTTTCTGGCTTTTCATATCATTGTTTTCTCTTACCTGTCTGACCACTTTGTCTCCATCTCTGTCCATTTGCTGGATCATCATCACTATCACCATTAATACTCCCTCACCTTTTCCCCTCATCTTCCCACCTAATTTCCATTCTGGATCCTCTTTTCTTAAACCCTTACTTGGTGTCCTTATCAGCTCCAGTGGGTTGAAGTATCATCTATGTGCAGATGACTCATATTTACAAGTCTGGTCTTCTCTCCTGAGAAGTTCTGTATCACAAACTGCCTATTGGACACTGCACACTGCCCCAGAAGTGACAGATGAAATTTTCATTTTAATTTCTTCCGATCTCAAATCCTGTTAGTGCCTTGAACTCAGTAGGAACATAGCCATGTGTATGTGTATTGCATATAGGTATATAATGTGTGTATTTATTTGTTTTTATGGTTTATCCTATTTCTTCCTAAGGAAGATTTCTTTCCTCCACTACTCTTAAAGCCCCTCTTAATGTTCCAGTTCCCAGCATCCTGTTTATAATGAGGGCACCCATTGTTCTTAGTTTAACAGATTACTAATATTCTGTGAATTGTTTATGCTCTGTTATTCGTGTTGGTGAACAAGAAAGTAATGCTTGTGGAAGTTATTTTGCCACTCAACTTTTCAGCTCAACAAAGTTTAGTTTAACCTGATATTTGCTGTGTGCTATAACATTTATTAAGCCATTGCCAGGTCCTAGGGCACTATACTATATTTATAGCACAATTCTAGGTGCTGGGGGAGATGCAAAAATCAAATAAAACATGATCCCAGTCTTCCTGGAATTTATAGTCTCATAGCTAGCTAGAATATAAACTAATAACTGTAATGCTGAACAAGACAGATAAATACATGAGACATTTAAACAAATTGATTATGTAACATTCTAATGGAAGGAAAAGACTTGAATAACGTACAAGAACAGTCAATCAAAATTTATTTAAACTTTGAAGGAGTAGGAAGAAACATACATGCTCTATCCAGTTTGGGCTGGAGAGTCCAAAACCTGCTTATTCTCCTTTGTCGGGCTCTGACCTAGTTTTGCTAAGTAGTTGTGTGAAGAGTGCCATTTACTGAAGAAAATCTATGTAGGGAATTACTTACATATAAATAAAAAATGTATATATATTTACACATGTATTAGTTTTCATATTCTCAAGCTGGCCAGTAACCATCAATCAGGAAATCAGTTATTGGTACCTATGGTGACCCGGCTGAGAAACTATTGCAATTCAAAAGTTAGGGGGTAGACCCAAGTCTGAGATGGGCAGTTATCAAACAAAAGAGAAAAATGTCTTTTAAAAAGCCCTCAGTCCTAAAGTCCCTTGTTTATTCTTTTCCCTTTCTTAAATCTTAAATTATAGGATGATACTGAAGAAAATTCCAATGATGGCACCCAGCCATCCAAAAGGAGGCGAATGGGCTCAGGAGACAGCTCTCGGAGTTGTGAAACTTCAAGTCAGGACCTTGGGTATTGACATTTTATTATATAATGATATTTGAATGGTTTTTTATGTTTTTCTATGCTTCTGTATTATTTTGTCTTTCTGCACTAGTCAGTTAGCTAATTATCACCAGTATTCTGTTCCTATTTCTCACTGATTTCATAGTCTTTATAATGTGGTTTCAGTTTGGTTGGCCTCCTTACTATCCTTTGCACATACTCAATTCCATTCAATAAACATTTATTAAATATCCACAGTGAGCTGAATACTGCCCTTCCTCCTCTGTTCTTTCTGAAATGCCTTTTAGCTTCTTTAATCAATTTAATGTCCCTTTTTCTTCTTCAAAGGGAAATTTAATGCACATCATCATTACTGTCTTAAAGCATTTGAAGGGCTTTCATGTAGAAAAGATGTTTAGACCTGTAATGCAGAGCTTAGACTAGTGGATCTGGAGGTTTCAGAAAGGTAGATTTAGGCTTTAGTGTAGGGGAAATTCTGCTAACATTCAGAACTCTCCAGAAGGGGAATGGCTTCCCTTGGGAGGTGGAGTTTCCTGTCATTTAACGTCTTCAACTGAAGGCTGCCTAACCACTTGTGGGGGGTGATGGTGTTGTTAAAGAGATTCTTGGTCAGGTGCTGCTTAGACATGAGGGCTGCTCAGGGCCCTTCTAGCTCAAAGATTCTGTGATTGTGATTTTATTTGGGGGACACGACTCATCTGTCTTTTATTTTGGCCTAGGTCTCACAGGAGTAAAATGAGCTACTTGAGATTACACTATAGTTAGAGCCACAAATTTTCATAATTCTCCATTCTGTTATGTTTACCTGGTTTAGGTTTTGGACTCATATAAACTAAACCTTAAAAGAGTTGGTAATCAGTGATAATCCCTGAGAAAGTTCTATTTTTAACGTATGTAGTAGTCAGGGTGCAGTCTCACTTAGACTATTATAATAGCCCCTTAATTAATCCCTCTGCATATAGTCTCTCCCTGACAAGTCCATCTTCCAAACAGGTACCAAATTGATATTCCTAAAGCAGAGGCCTGCCCTTGTCACTGCCTTGCTCAAGAAGTTTCAGAGGTTCCTTAATGTATCTAAGATGAAAGACAGATACCTTTCTGGCATGTGAAACGTTTCACAATCTGACTCTCACATGTGCTTTAGACTGATTTTCCATTTCTCCCCCTCATACACTCTATTGTCTGAACAAAGTCACCTCTTTGCCATAACCTCCATTTACACAGACTGTCCCCATGCCTGGAATGCATTCTTTATACCTCCTAGAATCCCTATCTTCTTTCAAGGTTCAGTTCAAATCTGCCTCCTATTTTTGACCTTTCCTCATTCTCCCAATTGTTATTCCCTGCCCTCTCCCCAAATTATATTGATTTTGTACTGTCTTATGTATGCGTGTTCTTTCCTCCCACTGCACTCCCCCCAACCAGGATGTAAGATTTCTTGAGGGCGTGAACTGTATCATTTTTGTATTCCCATTGTCATCACGGTCTCTCGCTTGTTGAATGAATATTGTTATTGTAGAGTGAAGTTTAATGGGGAAAGCTTCTTAGAAGAATAGATTCTTCTTGAATTGAAAGATGAGGGACATGGTTTAGTTAAGAAAAAATGTAAGGACTTTCCACAAAGGGATTTTGGGATCATACATTGAAAGCTAGAAGGGACCCTTAAAGGTCATTGAGATCTACCTTCTCATTTTATAGGTGAGTAAAAAAAATTAGAAATGACTTAACCAAGTTCACACAGTTGTAGTAAGTGCCAAAGGATCCTAACTCAAGTCCTTAGATTGAAGCAGCATGGTATAATGGTAGGGCATTGGACTGGGAGTCAGGAAGACCTGGGTTCATAGCTTACCTCAGATACTCTATGACTGTGGGCAAGTCATCTAACCATTCTATGCCTCAAGTTTCCTCATCTGTAAAATGGAGCTAAATGCCATGACTTCTTAGGTCCTGTGCAACTCTAATTCTATGATTCTAAGTCCAGAATGCTTTGATATGGATAGAGCAAGAATAAGAAGGTTGTAAGGAGACTGATCTGATGGAAATTAAAGGATTAAAGGGTAAGGACTTCTGAGAAATGAAGTGGGTTTCACTGGTTTATTAATTGGGGCTCAAACAAGACCACAAAGTTTCTGTCTCAATAAGACATGATCATGAAGGCCTAAGTTTACATATCTAACACTTGCAAATTCATGCCGGATTCATCTACATCATGAAAAATGAAAATAATATTTCACCCTGATGTAAAGATAGTCATTTTTACATGTTATCTTTGAACTGGAACACATGCTATAGCAATTGTTTCCCTTGTTTCTCTCAGCATTCTTTTGTACATTTGACGTGGTACCATTATCTGTCTAGTCACCAAGGTTTGTAAGCTTGTAGTCATCCTATCATTCCCTCCACCCCTTGCCTATTCCAGTCACATCCTGTCAATTCTATCTCACATTTATTATAGCCATTCTCTCTTTCCTTCACAGCCACCCCTCTAGATCAGGTCCTCATTATCTTTCACCTGAACTATTATTGAGTAGCTTCTGTTTTGTTACTTTGCTTTGTTGATGTCTTTTGTTTTCATGTAACATTCATTTCAAATATGTCATCCCTATCAAATGCCTTGTCTAGGAAACCTCTTGTAACCAATGTGAAAAAAAGAAAAGGGGAAAATAATTCAGCAAAGCTGACCACTCCATTGGCCTCTTTCAACAGCATGCAACATTGTATTCCTGAAGTGAAGAGAGAGATGCATTTTCTCAAGTCTTTTCTGAGTCTTGGTCATTATGAGGTATCTTTACCAAAAAACAACAACAACAAAAAACAACCCACATTTGTTCATTTTTTTTTAACCATTCTTTTCTTTTTAAATTTTGAGTTCCAAATTCCCTCCTACCCCTTCGCTGCCCACTGAGAAAAGCAAGCAAAATGATATTAATTATACATGTGAAATTATGTAAACCATTGCCATACTGCAAAAAAGATAAAGAAAGAAAGAAAGAATTATACTTCATTTTTCACTCAGAGTTTATCAATTCTCTCCCTGGAGGTAGTTAGCATTTTTTCATCATGAATCCTTTGGAATTGTCTTGGATCGTTGTATCGATAAGAGTAGACAAGTCTTTCACAGTTGATCATCATTACAACATTGTTGTTACTGTGCACTGTGATTCCCTGGTTCTTCTCACTTCGTTTTGCATCAGTTTATATAGATCTTAACATGTTTTTTTCTTTCTGAAATCACGCCTCTTGTCATTTCTTATAGCACAGTAGTACTCCATTACAATCATATGCCACAACTTGTTGAGCCATTCCCTGATTGATGAGCATCCCCTCAATGTCCATTTCTTTGCTACCACAAAAAGAGCTGCTGTAAATATTTTTGCATATATAGGTCCTGTTCCTTATTCTTTGATCTCTTTGGGGTACAGATCTAATGGTGGTATTGCTAGGTCAAAGGGTACGCGCAGTTTTGGGCATAGTTTCCAAATTGTTCTCCAGAATGGTTGGACCAGTTCACAACACCACTAACTTCATTAGTTTATCTTTTTTCCCTCATCTCCTCCAGTATTTGTCATTTCTGAGAGATGTGAGGAGGTACTTCAGTGTTGTTTGAATGTGCATTTTTCTATTTATTAGTGATTTAGAACATTTTTTCATCTGACTATAGATAGCTTTGAATTCTTCTGAAAACTGCCTGTTCATATCCCTTGACAACTTATCAATTGGGGAATGGCACTTATTTTTATAAATTTGACTTGGTTCCCTATGTATTTGAGAAATGAAGCCTTTATCAGACACACTTGCTGTAAAATCTTTTGATATTATTTCATTGTCTATGGTAACTTTTAGCAAAATGTAGTTTCCTTGATTATCTCTTTTAATTAGGTCTGTTTTTGCTTTTGCTTTGTTTGAAATTATGATTGCTGCCTCTGCCTTTTTTACTTCAACTGAAACTTAATAGATTTTGCTCCAGCTCTTTATTTTAACTGTGTGTCTTTCTGTTTCAAGTGTGTCTCTTGTAAATAACATATTATTGGTTTCTGGCTTCTAATTTACCATTTTATGGGTGAGCTTATCCTATTCACATTTATAATTACTAACTGTATTTTCCTTCATCCTATTTTCTTTTGCTTCTGACCACTGCCTCCCTTGATCCACCCTCCTTTTTGTTACCTTCCTATTCCCCACCCATTGTATCTTTTATCCCCTTACTCTCTTATTTCCCTATTGGGCAAGATAGATTTCTAGATCTAACTGAGTGTTTGTTTATTCTTCCTTTTTTGAACCAATTCTCTTGAGAGTAAGTTGCCCACCACACCCCTCATTTTCCTCTACATTGTAAAAGCTCTTTCTTCAGTGCCTGTTAGTGAAAAAAATTTTCCCATTCTATCTCCCTCTTTCCCCTTCTCCTATTCCCTTCTCTTTCTCATCGACTCATACTCACTGTTTATGAAGACTCCTCCTAACTGCCCTAATGTTATCTTCCCATATTGGAATAAACAGTTTAACTTTATTGAATTCCTTATGATTATTCTTTCATGTTTATCTTTTTATGCTTCTCTTGAGACTTGTGTTTGAATGTCAAATTTTCTATTCAGCTCTGATCTTTTCATCAGCAATACTATATCATTAAATGTCCATTTCCCCCACCATCACCACTGGAGTATACTTAGTTTTTCTGGGTAGGTATTCTTAGCTGTAATCTTAACTCCTTTTCCTTCTGGAATATCATGTCTAAGCCCTCTGTTTCTTTAAAATGGAAACTGCTATATCTTTTTCTTTCTTTCTTTCTTTCTTTCTTTCTTTCTCTCTTTTTTTTTTTTGAAGCTGCTATATCTTGTGTGATCCTGACTGGCTTCACAATATTTGAACCATTTCTTTCTCGCTACTTACAGTATTTTCTTCTTGACTTGAGAACCCTGGAATTTGGCTATAATGTTTCTGGGAGTTTTCATTTTGGGATCTCTTTTAGGAGGTGATCGGTGGATTCTTTCAATTTCTGTTTTACCCTCTGAATCTAAGATATTGGGGCAATTTTCCTTAATTTCTTGAAAGATGATGTCTAAGTTCTTTTTTTGATCATGACTTTTAGGTAATCCAATCTTTTTTTTTTTTAAGGCAATTGGAGTTAAGTGACTTACTCAGGGTCATATAGCTAATAAGTGTCTGAGGCCAGATTTGAAGTCAGGTCCTCCTGACTCCAGCTGCCTGTAGTCTAAGAATTCTTAAATTCTCTCTCCTGGATCTATTTCCCAGGTTAGTTGTTTTACCAGTTAGATATTTCACATTTTCTTCTATTTTTTCATTCTTTTGATTTTGTTTTAATGTTTCTTGATGCCTCATACAGTCATTAGCTTCCACTGGCCCAAGTCTAATTTTTAAGGAATCATTTTCTTCAATGAGCTTTTGTGCTTCTTTTTCCATTTGACCGGTTCTGCTTTTTAAGGAGTTCTTTGATTCAGTGAATTTTTGTGCCTCTTCTCTCATTAGACCAGTTCTGTTTTTTAAGGTGTTATTTTCTTCAGTATTTTTTTTTTTGGTGCCTCTTTTATCAAGCTCATTTCTTTTCCCATTTTCCCCCCTACCACTCTTATCTCTTTCTTTAACTCTTCAGTGAATTCTTGTTGGGCTTGGGTCCAATTAACATTTTTCTTTGAGGCTTTGCATGTAGTTGTTTTCATGTTGTTGTCTTATTCTGAGTTTATGTCTTGGTTTTCCCTGCCACAGTGTAGCTTTTTATGGTCAAGTTCTTATTGTTTGGTTTGCTCATTTGAACTTTATATTGAAGATGGACTTTGCTCACCTGGGGGTGGAGAGGCTCTGTGCCAAGCTTCAGGTTTTTTTGTTCTGCTGTTTTCAGAGCTAGTTCTGGGGGTCTGCAGATTTTTAGTGTTTCCAAGGTTGTGTGATCCCCAGTGCAGTGTGTTCACTGCTGTCCTGTGCTCTTGTCTTTACTCAGAAAGAGCCCCTCCTATCCTGCAGCTGCAAGTGCTGATGTTCCTCCTTGCTCTGGAACTATGACCAGAGCCACTTCTCCCTTGTGACTGACCACAAGCTCTTCTCTCCTTCCTGGAACTGAGACCCGGAACTGCAACCCAAAACTGCATGTGGACGATAGAGTTGCCAATCAGCGCTAGCTACACTTAGTGCCAGCAAAGCCTTCCCTGTAATTTTCTGACTAGTTGACCCTTTACTGTCTCTGGGCAGAGAGCTCCTGAAGATGCTGGTGCTGCTGCCATGCTCTGGGCTAGCCCTCAGATGTCACAGACCTTTCCTGGAGACCTTCTAGGTTGTCTTAGGCTGGAAAAATGTCTCCTTCTGCCCTTCTGTTGGCTCTGCTGCTCTAAAATTTGATTTGAGGGGTTATTTTAAAGTTGTTTGGAGGGGAATGTTGGGAGAGTTTAGCTGGGTTGCTGCATGTCCTTCACCGTCTTGGCACTTATAATGTCCCTTAATTGGTATTCCTGCCTCAAGCCTTTTTCCTTGACCATCTCTTTTGGTGCTTTCAAAATACTCTTCCCATCACTGACTGGCTTAGACACATTTAGTAGCTTCTCATTGCATAGATGTCAGAATAAAGATTCCTTTCTTAGCATCCAGAGGCCTCTTTGCTCTGACTCTACCCTCTTTTCCCCAGATGTATTTGACTTTACCTTTGACATATACTCTGACCCAGATAGCCTGGTCCCAGTCTTGTTCCACATTCTTCTGCTTCCATGCATTTATAAACTCTTTTCTCATGCCTGTAATATGCTTCCTGCACTTCTCAACCTATTAAAATCGTTGTGTTCTTTCAAAGCCCAACTTTCCCTGACCTACTGACTTATTTTCCTCTCCTCCCATGCCAACTTCCACCTGCTGACAGTGTTCTTTCCCTCTTCAGATGTTCTTGGAACATTTTGTGTCTCCCTTTTACCCTCATCACACTTTATCTTGTGTGATATTTTTATATATTTATAAATATATTTTATATATTTTTATAAAATAAGATTTATATATGGAATATAAAAATATGTTATATATGATATATTTATAATATTTTAAAAAATTTTATGTAAATATAATATATAAAAATATATTTATATTTTTATGCCTGTTCATACATAAATCAAGCACAGGGCAGAGACTGGTTTTTTTTTTTTAATTTCTGTGTCCCAAGTACTTATCACAGTACTTTATACACAATAAAAGTTTGTTGAACTGGAGCAAATTATACAAGTTAAGTTGTGCCATTAATTGTTCTTTAGTTATTTCACGCATAAGGTGTGAAATGGCCTGTAGAGTCCCTGGCATATACTTTTGAATAGCAAATAGTTTGTCAACAAACCTTTATTCTTTGAAGGGAGATTGGCTTTTTTGAAATGTCCAAATATCATTTCAAGTCAAGAGTGGTAAAGTGGCTGGTCAAGCTAAGTAGTCACATTTTTGGTCAAAGTATAAAGTACTTGACTTTCTTTGGTGGTTTGTGAGCTGGCTTTGGAAAATAATTCCAAAGAAGAGTGAGTATCCAAGTATGGCAATGTCTTCGGAATAAATTTATAGCCTCACAAAGTACCTACTTTGAATGGAGAATCATTGGTTATAGAAGGTTTGTGGTATATTGTGTGCTTACACGTAACATTTTTATATTTGATGTTATTATGTACATTTTATATGTGTGGTGACATAGTGGATTGAAGGCTTTCCTTGGAGTCAGGAAACTTGGGTTCAAATCTTTACTTTGATACATTGTAGCAGTGTGACCATTGGCATGTAAGTGCTTTTAGGCAGTCAGCCCTCCTGGGAAGCTCTTTAAGACTAAGTTACAGCTGAGTTGTTAATCTGCATTAGTGGAGGTTGTACAGGGAGTTCCCTACATGAATGAGGTAGAGTCAGTTGTAGCTCCATTTGGGTAGCTACCTTTATATATACAAAATCCACATTTGAATAATACACAGATAATCACAAATCGACAATATAATAGTACAAAGAAATTTAGTGTGTATGCATAGAATATATACATAAACGTATAATTTTTGTATTTGCGTGTATATATAAATATATATAAAATACACATATAGTACACACACACACACATATATATACATATATATAAACACTCTAAGTCCCGTTTCCCTTATATCTGATTTCTATAAAAAGTTTATTAACTTCTAGAGACAGGAAACTTCTGCCTGTTTGGGTCTCTTATGGAATCTAGTATAGTACTGTATATGCAGTTTAGTACTCAATAAATCTCTTAAATGAATGTGCATTTTCAGTCAGTTTCTTTGTGACTACACATTCTCTAAAAGGTGGGTGTGAGGCCAATTTAAGAAAGTGTTGGACTTCTTTTCAACTAACTAATAAACAGGCCTAAAAATAGAATTGGCATAAACCCAGAAAACTAGATTCTTGCTCCTTCATCTATTCCAGATTTGTACTGATAAGACTAGTACTTATAAATCTGGGCCACATTTGACTTTTGGGTTTAGTGAGCCGGAGTGTCAGAACAACTGGTTTCATTTCAAAGACCCATTTTGTGGCATGATTAATTTCTAAGTTCTTGTTTCCTGTCCGCTTGATTGGGGGGAAGGAAAAACGAATGCTTTCTTAAGTATTGAATCAGCCTTGACTTTGATTTTGGTTATGAAGCCGGACATTAAGAATGGAGCTGAGAAGCCATTGAGGCTTATTTGGCAGCTAGGTGGCAAAATTGATAGAGTACTGGTCCTAAAGTGAGAGAGACCTGAGTTCAAATGTGTCCTCAGACATTGACTAGCTTTGTTATCTGACAAGTCATTTAACCTCTGTTCCAGTTTCCTCAGCAGTAAAATGGGGATAATAATAGCACTTAACTCTCAGGATGGTTGTGAAGATTAAAAGAGATAGTATTTGTAAAGTACTTAGCACAGTGTCTGGCACATAGTAAGAGCTATGTAGTTTTTAACTATTACTAATTTTCTTCTGTGAGGTTACGGTTTGGCTCAAAAAATTACATCTGGCTCTTTTTTTTTGAACAACTACTATCTGTATATGTGTACGAATCAATACAGTGACCGTATTTTCAAGACCAAAAACTGAGACAAATGGTGATTTTCTTTTTGCAAAGTATATTTTCTTGAAATTAGGTCTATTGCAGAAAATCCAAGATGTATTGTCATATGTACCATAAGCACAATGTCAACTTTATTGGGTTTTTTGGTTTGGTGTATTGTTTTTCTCTTTTATCTCCCCTCCTCATTTATCTTTCTACATTGGGAATCAAGCAAATTTACAGATGTAGCAGAATTACAGGAAACAAAGCACTTAGAATTTGGTTTGTTAATAGTAGTGTTTTCAAAATATTATTCACTAAAGTAATAAAAAGTTTGTTGTTTATGTAAAATCTAATTTTTTTAACCCAATTTTTTTTTTCATTTAATGTATCTATGCTTAGCTTTAGCTACTTTCCAGCAGAAAATCTCATAGAATACAAATGGCCACCTGATGAAACAGGAGAATACTATATGCTTCAGGAACAAGTCAGTGAATACTTGGGTGTGACCTCCTTTAAACGCAAATATCCAGGTACTTAGGATCCTAGTTTATTTAAGACAGTAAATCTTGTCTGTAGCAAATAATTTTTTTATTTTATATTGTCAACTCATGATTATCCATGTGTGGGTGAGTTACAATAAATTTAAATTTCCTGCTGGTTGACTGTTTCTGATCACTGCTTTCAGCAAGCGTCTGGGATGTTTCCCTCCACCATCAGTTTGTATGTTCTAAGAAAATGTTAATTAAAATCTGATTAAGAAAACCAATCAAAGAAAATTACAAGCATTTGATATCCAGATATTTTTGACACTCTTTTAGATTATCCATGCCATTATTTTCCCACTGTCTACATGGAATTAAGTTGACAATGTAAGATAGCTCTAACTTGGAGAAAGACTAAAATAATGTATCATTTCAGGTAGTTTTGCATTACGCCTCTTACACTAGGATTGTTATATATGTATTTTTTGTTTTAAATTTTAATTATGATTTCAAATTGGTAGAATTAATTGGGCTCAAAGAATAGCCATTAATGGGTTGATATGTGGAGAAAGGGGTCTCTAGAGGAAGATCCCAGGGATCTTTCTTTGACTCAGTGTGGTTAAGCATTTTTAACAATGACTTGGATATTTTAACAGTTATTAAACGGGCAAATCAGGGAACGCTGTAAATATAGTTTACTTAGATTGTAACAAATTAGTTGACTAGCTTTCTCATGTTCTTGTGAAAGAGATATGGGCTAAAGGATAGTACAGTTAGATAGATTTGGATTTGGTCAAATGTCTAATCCAAAAAAAATGATCATTAAATGGTTTGATTTCAGCTAGGAAGGAAGTTTGTAGTAGACAGCCTGAGGGACCTGTGTTTGGCTTTTTGCTGCTTAACATTTTTGCAGTGACTTCGATAAAAGCATGGAAGATATGTTTATCAAATTTTCAGATTATACAAAACTAGGAATAAAAATATTTTGGAGACAAAAAACACATTGCTAGAACTTTGAGTTGAATCTATGTTTATCCCTATTTGGTTTCATTGTCTTAAAGTTCTAACACTTGGGTTTTTAAGAAAATCAACTTAAAAAGGACAAGTTGGAAAAGGAGTGGTTTTGTAATTTGTCTGAAAAAGATTGAAGCGTTTTAGTGGAGTACCAGCTCAATATAATGTGATAAAGCAGCCAAAAAAGTGAATTTGATCTTTGACTTCAGTGAGAAACGTGGTATTGAGAAGCATTGGGTATGATAGCACTGTTGTATAGGGGTATCCTGCCCTGGTCTGCCCATAGCTGGAGTGTATTATGGAGTTCTGAATTCCACATCTTCACATGGGCATTGACATGTTGGAAAGCATGCAGAGATGTGTGGCTAGGGTGATGAAGGGCCTTGAGGGCATGTCTTGAAGGTTTGGTTGAAGGAGCTGGGGATATTTAAGTTAGTGAAGAGAAGAAGGGACATGATAGCTGTCTTCATATATGTCACAAGGAAGAGGAATCATACTTGTTTGGCTTTATCATAGAGAGCACACCTAGGAATAGTGGATTAGAAGTTACAAAAAGGCAAATTTATGTCAGGAAAAACTTCCTAATAATTAAGAGTTATTGCAAAGTCGAATGGGCTGCCTTGGGAGGTAGTGTATGTCCCTTTCACTCAAAGTCTTGAAATGAGGGCTGGATTACCACCTGGTAGAAGTTGTAGAGGGATTTTCAGTCAGTTATAGGCTGGTCTCAAATGGCCTCTGAAGACTTTTCCAAACTCTTAAGCTATGATTTCACTTCATTGTTGTCACTAGTTCCTTGACTAGTGGAATATATAAAATGCAAAACCAGTTTTTCAAAACAAATTTATTTTAAAAGCTTTTTCTTGGAAGTTCTTTTAATATGAATTTGGTATTTGAAATACATAAAATTTCACAATTTTTAATAGCGTTTTGTTTTTTTCTGGAGATTTAGAGCGACGAGATTTGTCTCACAAGGAGAAGCTCTACCTTAGAGAGTTAAATGTCATCACAGAGACTCAATGCACTCTAGGTAATATAAGATTTTAATTATGGTACTTATTAACAGCATTTACAAAGTGTTTTCGATATAATATTTGTAAAGTGCTTAGTACAATCTGGCACTTGCCAGGTGCTTAATAAATAAATGCTCGTTCCTTCTACTCTCCTCCCCCTTTGGTTAATAGTTGCCTTCTTAAAATATTAGGAAAAAATTAATATTTAGATTAAAAATTAGATTTTAAAATAAAATATCATTGCCATTCTTTGTTAGAAATTGAAAGGAAAAACTTGATAAAAATTATACACAAAATTTTCTTAAATTGTTTGAGGGATCACGTAGGTACTAGTGTTTGGATTTTTTTCAATTACATCTCAATTTGTTCTATATGTAAAATTAGTTCTATTGTTTTGAAAACAGGTCCTAATTTTACAGATTTCATATATCTAATTTTTAGACTGGTGAACAGGGTGCACTTATTTTGTAAGTTCTATGGAATCATCTCAACTTTTTTTTCCTTAATTTTATTTTAGATTTCTTTTATTTAGGGTCATATTCCAAGACATTTTTTATTTAGTAGTTAGATTTCTTAGTATAAATGCATGGGAATCCTGTTCAAAACTTTATGCGAAATGACTTTTATGGACTTATTTTAATTTTCTGTGAATATATTTTCATGGAACTTTAATTTGGATTGACAGTCATTTTATGCATTATGTATCTCATATCCAGTATAGTTCATTGAAAGTATAGGTGAATTTTCCTCCTACATGTAGTGTGTAAATGAGTGCAAAGTGTTCTTCCATTAGTCTTTTCCTGATACCTCAATGTAGTAGAGAAGTAACCCTGAGATCTCAAAGACTGCTAGTGGAACAGAAGTCCTGGTAGGTGCTCCTGAGCTTGAACAGTTTGAACAGAGGTCTTCCAATGGCCGATAGTCTGTCGATTATCTGAGGACTAATTGGGTTAAATTTAGAGGTTCATCCCCAGAAGGTTGACCACCAAGTGATGAATTTTTTCAGCAATAGAAATTTATGGAGGCTATTTACTAATGCATAGAGAGGCTGTAGTCTTTCACTACAGGTAGAGGGAATTCGTTCCCTGTGTTACACTAGCAGTGTTAAACTGAAATAGAGATGAGGGCCACCAAACATGCAGAAAGATCACTATTGTTGCATATTGACTTAGAAAACCACACGTTAACATTGCCTATTTATTATTTTTATTTATTTTGTTAAATATTTCCCAATGACATCTTAATCTGTTTTTGGGACACTGGTATTGTGGGTGCATTTGACCTTCAGGCTGTGTGTTTGACACCTACTTTAAACTGTTAAAATAAAAAGGGTGGTGAGTCTTTAATGCATAGAATTTATAAAGGAGCCTGGCTAAAAAATTAGTTCTATATTACGTTTGGAAATTTGTCAATGGGTTTAATTTTTTAAAAATCATTTTAGGTTTGTTTAGTTTTACTTTATGACCTTCTGATTTTTAACTTAGCGAGAGTATTTGCAGTTTTGAAGATTGGGGCACCTTTTAAATATTGGCAGCTAGAGGGAAAATGTGTTTATTAGCAAAGTGGTCTATCCCTGTAGCATTATTATTCTTTTTATCCAAAATAGGTCTCACAGCATTACGTAGTGATGAAGTAATTGATCTGATGATAAAAGAATACCCTGCTAAACATGCAGAATATTCCGTTATTCTTCAAGAAAAAGAGCGTCAGCGAATAACAGATCATTATAAAGAATACTCTGTAAGTGATCTTTGATTAAAGTCTGCTTTGCCTAACTGTGGAAAGAGGTAAGGTTTTCCAAGTTTTGTTTTGACTTCTAGTATTACCATTATTTCAGCAAATGCAGCAACAAAACACTCAGAAGGTGGAAGCCAGTAAAGTGCCGGAATACATCAAGAAAGCTGCCAAGAAAGCTGCTGAATTTAACAGCAATTTAAACCGAGAACGGATGGAAGAAAGAAGAGCTTATTTTGATTTACAGACACATGTACGACAACTTAAATTGATTGATCAATTAATATAGGTAGTTAATATCGTAGAGGTATCAGTTTTCTCTAGTTTTCCTATCTTTGCTTAATGAACTTCTGATAGTATTTATTTATGGTTTAAGCCCCACATGCTTCCAGTAATGGAATGAGGTAGTATACCTCTCCTTTTTCCTCATAAAACTTAAAACACAAATAAAATTGCATAGTGATTGTTTGCAAAAGAAGAAGCAAGAATAAAAGATCAATTAAAAGGAACAGAAAAATGTGCTAAAAATCTAGGATGAGTTAGCTACTGCTGTTGGCTGTGTAGTAGAATATGAACTCCTTGAAGCAAGGGCTCCTGAACTTTTGTCTTTACCCCTGTGCCACACAACACATATATAGTTATGCATAGTTAGATATAACATAACTATATATGAAATAGAATGATATAAATATTAATGCACACATATGCATATATATATATTTAAAACTCTGTTTCTTTAATTAAACTCAATGCAGGTTATCCAGGTGCCTCAAGGAAAATACAAAGTGTTGCCTACAGAGCGAACAAAGGTTAGTTCGTATCCAGTGGCCCTTATCCCAGGACAGTTCCAGGAATATTACAAAAGGTATTTAATATTTTTACTTATTCTTAGAATTGGCTGTTGGCTGACTTTTGAACTAAGCTAGTTTTATATGACTGTAAAACTATCAAGAAGTCTGTCTACCTCACATGTCAGTTTAATGGGCTCAGTCTCAAGTCAATGCTAGGGAAGGAGATTTAGTTCAGCAAGTATTTGAGCCTCGTCTATAAGGTCGTCTGTAAGCTAGCTCTCCTCTTTTCCATGGACAGCCCTGCACCTCTACTTTTCTTCTTTCCCTGGGTCTTCAGAGTGAAGGGGAAAGCAGAAGCCTGCCCAGGCTTCAGATCATCCTCCTATTTCTTAGGCACACCATGTCCCTGGCTCTGGCCTCCTCTTCTAACCCCCATCTTAAGTGCACTAAACCCTTAGTTTATTTTCTCTTAATTTGATAAAGTCAGATTAAAATGTGAGCTAAAGTAATTTTTTTCTGTTACAAACTCCACAGTATTACAGTTTTTTCCCCTCAGTCTAGATCTATAGAATTCTTTGAATTGAATGAGCATAGGTTTAAATAAACACACACACACACACACACAAACACACACGTACACACACGTGCACACACACACACAGAGCAATACATCATAATGTTTAGTTCAGTCAGGTCAGCAACTTTTTAAAAGGGATATGCAATCTATTTGCCTCCTCCCCTTTTGGCAGGCTTTGTCATGGGGAGTTTAAACTTTGGGAGAAGCACTTCTGCCAATGAGAGGCTAGTAACTGACACTAGTAGAACTTGGTCTCGCCAGCTCCTAATTTAGACGAAAGGGGTTGTGATAGAGAACGCTAAATTTATCTGGAGGTGAATTATCAGGCTCAGAAAGGTTTAATGTGTTATTGAAATACACACTCTACAAACACAGCAGGTCACTTTCAATCTGATCCCCCCTCAGTAGTGTCTTTTGATAATAACATAATAAACATATAGATTATATTATAGTCAACAAAATGTTGTTAAGGTTTTTCTCTTTTAAAGCAATTTTGAATTGCTTGAAGGCAGTTAGCTTGGTGCAGTAGAAGAAACAGTCCAGGTGGCCTCCTTGGAGGCTGATCATGTTAGCTCTGCCATCTAGTGCCTTTGTGGCTAGGGCAAGTCACATCACCCTCAGTTGCTTTGTCTGTAGAATGTGGGAGTTGGTCTAGGTGATTCAAGGTTCCATTCAGCTCTAAATCCTATGGTCCTGTAAATAATTTTTTAAAGCTTTGAATTAAAATAGGTATTCCACTAATATTTCAAGGCAAACTAACACTGAGAAGAATTGTCACTGAATTTTAGGTACTCACCAGATGAGCTGCGTTACTTGCCATTAAACACAGCACTCTATGAACCCCCTCTGGATCCTGAGCTGCCTGCTTTAGACAGTGATGGAGATTCAGATGATGCCGAAGATGGTCGAGGCGATGAAAAACGAAAAAACAAAGGCACTTCAGTAAGATATAAGATTAAGATTCTTTAGTGAATGAGTGCTTCTCCCTTCTTGAAGTTTGATAATTGCTTTATTATGAAAATTACAGCATTTTATTTCTTAATGTTATGTCCAAAAGTTATCATTATTTGTATTTTTCAGTTTTGAATAAGAGGAGGTTATGTACCATTTGGAGAAAGTTTGACTAATGTATACATACACAAACTATATGGCACATTTGATCAATCTTGAATCATAGTCATTTTCCTGTCATGGTTTTTTTTTTGAAAGTCAGTCCTATTTCTAAAATGAGAAATAGAAGACATTCACTAAAGCTGTTAAAAAATAGTTTACAACTTCATTAGATCCCATTTTAATAGCATTTAAAAGTACATCAGCACAAGAAGTTTAAATCTCTTGAGATTTAAGAAGAATATTTAATTGAGAATATATTGCTCCACTTTTGGAGGCACAGTAACACCTTCAGACCACTAAAGTTACATTAATGAAATAATAGTAATAATGGAGTTCCTCTTCTTGGGTTTATCTTTCATCTTTAGGATATGTGCTTTGAGTTATTTTCCAGGTAACAGTGAGGTATACCTCATGAACTTCCTTGCCTGAGGACCAAAGGTATATATAGTTGGCAAGGGTTTGAGGTACACTTGAGACAGGGCAAAGTTTTCTGACTAGTTAAAGAAATTGAATCCATGGCTTTGATTTCATTATATCATATCTCAACCAGGTGATATAACAGATCATAAGTAAGCCAGTCTGGGGAATCTAGTGGCCTGAAAGAATTAGTGTGCCTCCCCAAATTAGTCACTTATTTCCTGGTCACTGATAGGTCTACTGCTTGAAGTTAATTATTATTTAAGTATAAAAAGTTGTATAATATTGCTGTCTTGGAAAGATTAGAGTAGCCTTTATAATCTCATTTCTTTTATTTCAAAATACATTTTACAATTGATAAAAACCTCAGCAAGTTCTTCATAGTCACCAGTATGCTTTCCATGTATGCTACTGGTGATATATCATTAAATCCAAAATAAAAATCTGTGTTCATTATTTTAAAGTAACAAAAATTATTCTAATAAAAAAGTTTAATAAATGTGTAGCAAGAATAGATATAGAAAGTAGACCATAATATATGTGAAATAATTCAATTATTTTTGCTAATTCTAAGTCAATGAAGAAAAACAGAATTATAAATTAAGTTTTCCAGCAGACAAAATGTTTATTTAGTTTACTAAATCAGGTAAGAAATGAAAGCAAAGTTCCTTTTTCTGAACTACTTCAGCCACCACGGTGGTGGTGGTGGTGAGGGAGGAGTCGTCAATTTGAATGTATTTTAAAGCTTAAAACTGCACCAAGATGGGGGTCACCCTGTTTTTTAAATTGAATAATCCTTTTAAAATAACTTTTTTTTCATAATTATATTCAGAACTCAAAATAAACCTGTCTTCCTTCCAAAGAAATGTTGTGCTATTTATATTTTAGGACAGTTCCTCTGGCAATGTATCCGAAGGTGAAAGCCCTACTGACAACCAGGAGGATTCTTTTCAGGGAAGACAGAAAACAAGAGATAAAACTGCTACGCCAAGAAAAGAGGGCTCCAAACGTTCTGTACTATCCAAGTCAGTTCCTGGGTACAAGGTAGAAGAAAAAAGCCCCTGACTCAGCTTCTTTCTGACCAGCCTCTCTCCCTGAAATATTTAACTTTGGTTTTCAAAATATGGAACTTCTGCTTGCCATACTTCACTAGCTGCTCCTCTGTGGTGTGTTTGATCTGTTTGCTTCCTTCCTTTTTGCTTTATTCACTGGGTGCTTTTCTGTTACTTTGGCTATTTAGTAGCTTTTGTTTCTGTATCTTAACAGATTATAATAGAGGATTTTTTTCCCCTTAAAAATATCCAGGCAAGTATGCATTTAAAAATCTTATTTTCTAGGCAATAATTTTACATTTATTTCATCTTTGCTTTAGGTAATGATCATAGCCACCTGGTATTTAATACCTGTCATTGCGTATTAGTATTTAGAAGATGCTGTAAAGTATCACAATACAGATGGATATATAGTTAGATTAATTATATTTCTAGAGTGCCTTTCACTGAGAAAATCCAAAATTAATTTAGTCTATAGAGTATTTGATCCACCAGCTAAGTATAGCCACCTCTGGGGTAAAATAGCTATTCAGTATGTCAGACAGACTTCTGCTATAAAATTTAACAAATACGTAGTCTGATAGGAATATAGTTCTGCATCACTGCAGTTTTAACTTAGTCCAATTCTTTGGTTTTTAAGTGGTCCTCTTTGAAAACTGTATAGAGAATGATAATTCAGCTGATGTGTTGAGTACATGCAAATTAAATTCTAAAATGAATTATCAGTATTAGGTTTAGATAGGGGGACAGGGTAGAGAGAGAGGAAGATTGGGTGCTCTTTTGTAGTTTAAGTACAGCATAAAAGGAGTTGGAATTTAGCTGTACAATTTTAAGTTTAGGGTAGTAATAAGGAAGATGGTATAGTGCTTTTCATCTAAAAATATTTCAAAATGTTGAAAAGTAGAGCTGAAATGTGAAAATAGACACATGATCTTTTTTTCACAGTGTTTAATAGTTTCTTTGAAGTTGTACTGAAGGAAAGATAGGAGTAAAGTGATCAGGAGGATTTATTGAGTTGGGGTCAGTATTTCAGAAGAAAAAGTTTTAGTAAGCTGTGTATGGCTTTCCCCTTTTCTATAAATATTTCCTTTCTTTGTTAAGCCAAACACCCACCAGCTGTTTTGTAACTAACTGAAAAATGCTTCTATAGACCACTAAGTATGTGGTTTTACAATCTCTAACAAACATATTTTAAGCTTCAGCCAGTATCTGCTCTTCTAGGGGTGGTTTAAACATGTTGGAAATATGTAGTTTTTAACAATTACATTTTAACACATAGGACTTAGCTATTTAGTTATTTATTAAAGACTTAAATTTCTGCCCAGTAATTGTAAGCAAATGAAATCCAAAGATGAATTTTAGAGAAGTGAATTTTCATGAGTGAGTATGTACTGCTGGTCCAATACAACTAAGAACTTCACATAAGAGTAACAGACTTAAAAACTCATTGTCCTATTTTAATTTAGTCTAATTCTTCTCAATCTTAAGTGATCATTTTAAACATACAGGGAGGATACTAGACTAATCATGGGTAAGAAGAAGGGGATTTGAAATAAATGTTATACTATGTATGTAATACTACAGACTAAAAATGAAGACCTTTTAATTCAATACTATCATTGGTTTAATGCCTAAGAAACAGTTACATAAGGACTTGAAAGTTTAACACCCAAAGTTGTTAAACACATCATGGAGCATGTATGTTATATCTTTCTCTGTACCTTTCAGTACTTGATGTTTCTGATACTTAAAAGATTGGAGTTCTGTTCATTGATTTCAGTGACAACTCTGCAGATATAACAAGTATCCGAAACTTTGAACATGCTGAGTAGAAGTTAACCTTGGTATGAAAAAAAATGTAACTAGTATTGATTTGCCAGAATGTGCCTAAATGTGGGGGTACTTTTAACTGAAGACTCTATTTAGACTTTACAAGATGTGACTTTTTAAAATCAAAATGTTTATGGTGTTTTGCTCTAGATTCACTTATGCTTACCCTTAGTTTATAGGAGAGTATTTTCTAGGTTATGTTAACCTGACAATAAATCACAGTTGTTAGGACTTGAGACTACAAGTATATAATTAAAATCTATATTATGTTAGTACTGCTATGAAGGTTTTATTTAGCTTTTGGTTATTTTTCCCTCCAGCAGGAAAAACTGATATGTTATATATGAAAAACTTTTTTTTTTTTTGGAGGGAGGCAAGCCTTTTTAAAAGACACTTAGGACTATTAGGATACATATCATTTAATTTGTTGCAAATATGAATCTTTGATGTTGCTGCAACTAATGGAAATAAGATTTACTATCCCAATTGTTCACCACAGGGTTCTATTCTCTGAATCTTCAGGAGAGTTTTGCACATTATTACCTTTGTCCTCCTCCTCACAATCCACTGAGAGACTAGGTCCCCAGACCATTTTATATTTGTTTTATGTAAAAATCCTACATGCAAGCAGTCTGACTTCTTACAGAACTCAGAATGATTGAATGAGTAGAGTATTTGATTGAGACTAAGCTAAAGCAGCAGCACAGAAAACACCATGAAGGTTTCTCTCTCTCTTTCTCTCACTTTCACTTTCATTCTCTTGGTCTCTCATTTTCTTTTATCACTTTCTCTCTCTCCCTCCTTTAAACTGTTTTTTTTTTTTAATCAAGATGAAGACCATTGGGTAAGATGATATCAAGCTTAAGAGTAAACTTACAATTTTCCTGGTATCTTCTTTTCTCTTAATTTTTTCATGTATTTTTATGATTGTAGAACTTGAATTGCTCTGGAATGTGACTATATTTAGCTTTGCATTTTATTTCTTTTGCATTATTTTGTAAAGGAGCTTCTATAACTGAAGAACCCTTTCTTAGAACTTAAGGGGGTAGTACTTCACTGTTTTTAGTGAAACATGTTAGAGATAACCAAAATACTATGCCAGTATCTTACTTTAAAATTCAAGTATTAAAAATAAATATACCTGGTACATGTAGCACACAGGTACAATAACCAAAATTCTCCTTAGCTTTGGTGGATTGAGAGGGTATATATTATGGCAGTTACAGACTCAATCATATCTGAACTAGAATTTGGATTAGAGAAGTGCACTTGCTAGCTAATTTTTAGAGTTTTTGTTTCATTTTGCTTTAGGAAAATACAAGAACCTTATGCTTAGAATGTAGCAGTATCAACAGAGGGTAAAACACTGCAAGACTGAGGTTGGAGCTGTGACACTATCCTTTTGTTGGGGGGAGCCAGGGTATATAAAGGTAGACATAGAGGAGATGTAGAATAGGTAACAGTAAAGTTTTATATGTATGTTTTCACTTCCATGATATTTATTATTTTGTAGAGACATTTGTGAATGTTTAGATTTATTTTATTGTTTTTATTATATTTATGTATAATACAGGTTGACTGCTTTTTTTAAATAAATAAGCAAAAAATTCCTTATGAATGCCTCTGTCATCTTTTGCCAAGGAATATAACATTTAAAAGAGCTTTTAAACAATGGACAAACTTTTCAGGCCTTACAGCATATGAAGGTGACAAAATGAGTCTTTCAAAATTGTCTTAAGATTGGAAATCTGGGAATGAATATCTAGATATGGAGCTCCACAGGGTATTTGGTATCTTAAGAATGAGAATTAAAAACTTAAGACATATTTGGAACAGTTTTAATCAAAAGGGCCTTAAACAGTTTTTCATTTAATAATTTTCTTTCCCTTTTTTGAAGCTTAAAAACTTGTTCTCTACCAGCTTTGTCCTTTTCCAGTTGGTCACACTTTGCCTTTCCTCTCCCCCCACCACTGAATGTGGACCATGTTTCTTTATTTTCAACTATCTTTGTTTGGTACCAACAAACGTTGGTAAAGATTTAAATTTCATTCTACTGCTTTATGGGTATGATTGCATCAGGCAAATGAAAATATAGCTAGCACAGCTTGAATTCTGGTTATGTGTGTGTGTGTGTGTGTGTGTGTGTATGTATATATATGTATATATTACTATAAAGTACATTTCAGTCTCCAACACTTTTCATTGGACTATGCATTATAAAGTTAAGCAGGACAAATTTTGGCACTAAAACTATTTTGTGTGTATTGATGAACCATTTAAAAACATTTTTTTGTTCTCATTCGTTTTGTGAAAGCAAGTTAAGTATTGCTGGCTCATTTTCTAAGGGCTTTTATCACAAGTTAACTAAAAATACTAGTCTGCCTTGCCTTTCTGAAGATTTCATTTTTTCCCTTCCAAATGTTTGGTACACAATAATGAATCTTTTTTCCCTTTTAGTTTATTTTAATGAATTTGTGCAGGATGCGAGGGGACCAACCACAAAATCTAGTTTTCACATAGAGACATTTTGCAAGTATATATATTCGTGAAGCCATTCTGAGTTTAAAATGTTAAAAAAATTGTTTCATTTTGTAATTTGGTTTCTCTCATAGATTGATTACAATTAATTTTGGATATATACTAAAAAAAAAAAAAAAAGAAAACCTAGATATTACCCAGTCATGCAATATAATTAACTTTGAAATTTTATAAAACCTAAGACTTTTTATTCTACAATGGGAAGAATAATTTCCATGTAACATTTTCATTTGCTTACCAAAATTTTACATTGTTAATTGGAAGGAGGAAAGTGCAACATTGTATTATATTTTCCTTCAAATCCTTGATACAAATTAGTTTTACTGATACTTGAGGAGTGTTAATTGCTACATTCAGTCTTACATGAGCATCATATTGTTAACCTACAATTAAATTAAAATTAAAATCCAAGACCTCAGTTAGTGGTCATATTATGTTGCAGATCTATTCGTGTTGAACTATATCGTACAAAAAAGTTCCTCTTTAGCAAATTACCAAAGTAAAAATAAGGAGATACATTAAAATTCCTTTTAAACCCATAGTAAGTTCTTCTGGCATGAATTTATAGCCCTCTTCTACCCTTCCAGCCAAAGGTCATTCCAAATGCTATGTGTGGGATTTGTCTGAAGGGTAAGGAGTCCAACAAGAAAGGAAAGGCTGAATCACTTATACACTGCTCCCAATGTGATAATAGTGGTAAGTATTGATGTATCTCTTAAATTTTTAAATGCAATATTCATTGTTTCAAAAAAGTTTGTTTTTTGTCTTAGTTGAGCTAAAAGTATCAAGTATGGAGAATACTTTAAAAGTATATACAAGGTTTCATTTCCTTAAGATAGTCTTGACATGACTTTTCAGTAAAAATCATCCTTTTTTATAATTAAGAGTATTTTACTAAAGCTTATTGAAAAATGTGAAATTTGTGTCAAGTATTACTAATATTGGTTTTGATTTAGGCCACCCTTCTTGCCTGGACATGACCATGGAGCTTGTTTCTATAATTAAGACCTACCCGTGGCAGTGTATGGAATGTAAAACATGCATTATCTGTGGACAGCCCCACCATGAAGAAGAAATGATGTTCTGTGATGTATGTGACAGAGGTTATCACACTTTTTGTGTGGGGCTCGGTGCTATTCCATCAGGTAATCAACCAAGATCAATCTTAGCATTTTGTCGTAATAGAACCTTTCAACATTGCTCAAGACTAAGTAGAAACATGCAGATTGTCATTAAACTCTGAAGGTGGAGGCCTTGTCTTTGTATCTCCTCCAGTGCTAAGTCTAGTGCTTTTTACTCAGTAGGTACTAAAATGACCACTTCAGTGACTTACTGACCAAAATATTCAATGATAAAATTAAGATTGCTCATTAAACAAATAATATTATTCATTTATTTATCATGGAGTATTTTAGGCAATTATGTTTAAACTGTATATTTGGAAAGATTTCCATTAAAGGATTACTAGAAATTTACCTGGCAAAATAAAAGAAATAGTGTACTAAAACCATTCTGGAAATCTATTCTGAAACGTAGAATTTAAGCACTAACATGTTATTCAAAAATGTCAATTCTGAAATGGCCAAAGTAAAAGAGTATCAGTTTAAAAACCTTGTGAATTTTATTTTTGTAAACTTTCACTTGCATAGTTTAATACTTTAGCTTCATACTAATATAATGAAACAATACTATTTTACATTCACGTGTTTATATATTTTGAATACCTTATTGAAGCAGCACAGTAGCTTCAAATGGTGTTAGGGTAGACAAAAAATTAACACACCTTTCACTATGGTAACCTGATACAAATTAAAACAAATACATGTGTAATTTTGTTTTATGTTCATGTAATTTTTGAAACTTTTTTTGCCTAATTTCCCAAAAATTTCAGTGTAAATTATGCCTGAAAGTAAAGATGTCCAGAAATTACACTAAAGAGCTAAGCAACTTGTATATTATTTCATGTACTGTAGTAAGTTGATATTATCAAGTATAGAATGCATCACATTCATGCATGGTGCTGTTATGGTGCAGTTATGTATTTGATATATTAAAATATTGTAAAAATAGAGTAGCCCTGCATTGAGAATACTATGGAGACAAGCACATCAGTAATCCATGAGAAAGTTGAACAGGACAACTGGATCGAAATTCAATCAAAAGCCTTATTCCAGGATTTTTATTTACTGAGCTTTATAAGAATGATAATTTCTGAAAGTGTTTAAAATATTCCTTTGGGTCCATGCAACAATGTAGCACTAAAGGTGGCATCAGTTATTCAAGCTATTTGCATAATTTGTTGTACTGAATTCTACTCTATAGAAACTCGTATTATATTGAAAATTGTTTAATTTTTTTTTCTTTAAGGTAGCTTCACATTTTTCTGCTTAATGACATTTTCTTCCTTGATGTGTCAAGGAGTATCATTACTGACTTGATGTAAGAGAAAGGATTGTGAAGGTATTTTGATTAGATGTTGTTACAAGTAAAATTCTTTGTATATTAATCAACAATTTTTCTTCCAGGTCGCTGGATTTGTGATTGTTGTCAAAGAGCTCCCCCAACACCCAGGAGAGGGGGCAGAAGGGGAAAAACCAGCAAGGAGGGATAAAATTACAATTTTTACCCTGATGCTGTTATTTGCATTGTGAAAATTTTGGTGCCAATCAGTTTACCACTTTGTGAAACACACTTCCTCATATTGTTGTCAATAAAGCATTTTTCAGTTTTTAACTATGTACTTAAGTTCTATGAGTTGACTTATTTCTAGAAAGTTATAGCATACTTCTCTGTAAGCCTAATTTTTAACTTAATCTACAAATCATTCTATGTAATATAAAATCACTTTCTTTCTGAAAATTCAATGAAAGGAATGTTTAAAAAGTTAATTTTTAGAAATTGATCACATTTTATTAAGAAGCCTAAACTTATTATTTCCTTCATTTTCTCCCCTATTTTTGATATTCAGCTATGGACTACTACTTGAATTTTGTTATAAATGTACAATTTAATAGTTCAACTATGATTTATAACTATCTTCAAACAGTAGTCCAGTGCCATAGGCAAATATCTAAAACAACAGGATAAAATTAGGGAAATTGCAATTTTTAGACAAAATGAATCTCAATGATCAACTTTTTAATATATAGTAAATGAAATTAATTTTAATTAACACAGCTGGTGTACAGGGAAAGCAAACTGAACTGGATGGATGGAGACTTGGGCTCTGTAGAAGTGGCCTGATACTAACCAGCTTTGTGATCTTGGTTCCCTAGAAATTCCATAGCTTCTCTGAGCTAGAAACTCTCTGTCTCAGGCCTCTTCCAGTTTTAAAATTGTGGTTCCATGAAGTCTCAGTACAGTTTCAGAACTGTACAGAATAACCCTAGATGACAACTTTGATCACAGCTGAACTGTTGCTTTATTCTATAGTTCCTGAGAAAGTCTGGAAGTATATGCTGGGGTCAAAGGTATTTCTAGCTTTACTCCACCAACTTAATGTTGCTAGTGCCTCTTCTTTGTAAATTGCCTGGAAACTATGCAGCAAAATATGTAGTTGGTACCATTTATTTCTTAGGCAGTGTGGGGGTAAATGAGATTTATTTCACAGAGATACGGGACTAATCTCCATTTAAAAACTGAACATCTTAACTTACATGTTATAATATGTTTTGTAATAAGTAGTTTGCTTTAAGTAGTGTAAAAATTTTAGAAAGTCAAATTTTAATAAAATTTTTTGCAAATTTTATATAAAATCTGCACTCCAATCCAAATTGTTTTACATAAGATTACTGCTGTACTTAAATGAATGCCTGACAAACTGTTAAATGAAATCTAAGCGTTTTTTTTTTTATTGTACATTCTCCATTTATATGAACTCTTCTTTCTTTAAAGAAAACTACAAATCTTGTGCTTGCTGCTCTTATTTTGGGGGGAATTACAATACAAAAGTAAATATGGCTTTTTTTCCCCACCCACCCTCCATAAAAAAGGTCCCCTGAACCCTATTTCCTGAAACATATAAAAAGTAGCAATGTTCACAGCAAACCACAATCCACTTCACAGGTTAAGGGTACTGTATTCCAGTGTGTTTGTCCAATGATATTAAAAAAGAACCTCAAGAATTAGTTTCAAAATGCCAATTATTATTGTCCAAACAATGGATTCTTCATCTTGAGACGTATCTTCTGGTGTAGGCTGCTTTTGGCTTGTAGCTTTACCATCTGTGGCATAAGTTGTTTCACCAAATGGATATTCTACAACCGTTCTATCGTAATATACTTTCATTTCAAATTCACTCTCAAGGTGAGATGGATGTCCATAGATACCTATTCCTACGGGGCGCTGGAAGTGTCCGGGCACGAAAACAACATCTTGGCCGCAAGTTACAGACTGTAATTCATATTCATCAAAACTTGGGTGAAGGGTGGTATCAGATACATACAAATCTGCATCACCTTTTAAGCTTTTCATTTGAAGAACTATTTTCCCTTCATGATTTAGTCTCAAATAGCTATAATTTCCAGCTCCGATATGACCCTGAACCACGTGCAAGAGAATCCATTCTTCAGGTACTTCCTCCTCCTCCTCAATGCTATTCACTAAGGACAGTGCTTGGGATGTTAGAAGTATCAGAAGGGCTTTCTTCCAAGGTATTGCCATAATTGCTGAAGGCTTAGTAACAACAGAACTTAGTTGTCATCTGTAAACGTCCTGTTAACATAAAACAAAATGATTACCAACAACAAGCGATAGTCAATTTACTGGATTACTAACACATCGCTAAAGTGAATTAATTAGTCAAAATATAAATAATTAACCCAAACCACTTGGCTATTGCTTACTCGGCCAACTTTCCCTCCATGATGACATTATCTACTGGATAGAGACAGAACGCGGGGAACGTTTCTCCATTCTAGAAACAAAAGCTTTCAAGAACAGGGGCTTTCGGTCTTTCCCCTTAACCTGAGTCAGCCCCGGGCATGGGCTCCCCCCTCCGCGCTTCCCCCGGTGGAGGGCAGGGGACCGCGACCTGGTTAGCAGGGACTTCGGAGCAGGGCTCAGGCCCAGCAGGAACACGTTCTGGCGCGGGCGGCTCGCGGCTCCCCTTCCACGCAGGCGGCACAGGGCGAGTTCTTGGGGTGCAGGGACCGCGGCTCGGAGGAGGCCAGGCGGGCAGCGGCCGTGAGGCCAGACCGGCGGTGGGCGCGGCTCGACCGGGTGTTTACGCTGGAAAGGGGTGGGCTGGAGTCCCGGCACTACCAACAGCTCGGGTCACAGGGAGAGCGAGAGGGCTTTCCCAAACAGCCACCCCTGAGAACCACGTCCTCCGCGGCCTGGGTCTCACCGGCGCTCCCCGGAGCTCGGCGCACCCCGTCGGCACCATCTGGTCCCGCAGCAGCCGCTGCCGCCACAGCGGACCAATAAACCGGAAGTGGGAGAGGCCAGCCGCCACCTCTCGCGAGAACCAGGATGAAGCCTGGGGCTGGAGGAGGTGAAGGAGGGCGGGGCACGGGAGCACCAACGCGTTTCTGTAACCCCGGGAGACCGGCGAGGCTGGGCTGCGATTGGAGGGGGAAGGTGGTGGGTGGAGAAATGTCTTGTCTGGTTGGCTGGAGCCAAGGCCAGGAAAAAAGATTACAGGAACGAAACCGGAACTGGGGCCAGGATGGTCCAGGGCTAGGACTCCTAGGGCCTGGGGTTCTGCAGGGGTTTGCAGCTGACTGGTAGTGACCTTAGGCTTTCCGAGACGCCTGCAGCCCCCTCCTCACTTCAGCATCTTCCTGGAGCACAATTGTGTTGTTCCCTCTTCAGGGCAAAGTCCCCAGGATAGGAACCATCCGTCACCCTCGCTACTGTCGACCTGAAAGTTGGTTAAAGAGACAGCAAGCTAGGTGATAAGTAAATTCATATTGTTTTATTCCCTTAAGTTAGCAGAATGTGACATGTTACATGGAGGCAGAGCTTTAACTCTGACTGCATCAAGCAATTTAAATCCTGACTCAGGATGTCGGTGTTACTCAGTTTTATGGTCTCCATATGTTCAACCAGAGCATGAGAAAGGAAATTTAAATAAGATAGGCAAATGTCAGATCCAGGATATCTGTGTTTTCTTTACCTCCATCAAGGTAGTGTCTGGGTTAAAGGCGCTTTAGTAGTCATAAAACATAAGAATGCTCTTGGTCAACTTTAGGTATTGACACAGGAAGGCATTCTTAGCTCACTCTGGAAGAAAAGATTAATTCAGGTTTTTGGCCCTTATTGGGGCTCAATCGATCTTAAAAGATTATCACTGCTCTGTGTATCTTTGTGTTGGGAAGCAGAGAGATTGGAAACAAGAATGTCTCCTTTTTTCTGATGCCTTTCAATGCTGAACCTTCTCCAGATCACCTCCATACCCCCACTCTGTATTCCACCACCCTACTACTTTGCAAGTCCCCTCTCTCTCTCTTTTTAGTGAACTCAAGTCTCCTAGAAAAACCCGTCCCAAAATATTCTATTTAGAATCAGGTCTTGGGAAGGCTAGATTGGCCCACGGTGCAAATAAACATAGCTTGCATGTATGTAGATCAGGGGTTCTTAATCTTTTGTGTGTGTCATGGGCCCTGTTGAGGTTACAGGTTTAGGGGTGATGGGACCTCGAAGATGGGTCCTGCTCGAATGAATTAGACCCAAACCTCCTTTCAGCCAAAGACAAGGTTTATTAAAGATTTGCCATATTGGCCAGACTCTTAAGGAATCAACATTTGTAACACTGGTATTAACAAGTGATCTAGATTGAATCTCATGATTGGCTAGAGTTTAAGAATCTGAGCACCTTAATGGAGACAAGATGGATCTTATATGCAGGAAGACTCTGTGAGGGATCTAGGAGTGGCCAAGTAGTTGGAGGAGGGGTCTACAAGAAGGGTCTAGGGAGGATCTTGATGGGAATGACTCCGTGGTAGAATGGGGTCTAGGGTGGGAAGTAGCCAGGGCAATAGGGCCAGGCAACAGGCAGTGAAGGTTGAGCTGGATCAGAAGTAACAGAATTGGGAGATTGGGTGTAGCCACAAAGAAAGGCCAATTGAGTGAGCAGGCAACTCTAGAGACTTCCTTGATCAAGTAAGAAAATTCCAGGAGTTCAAGGTGGGGGTTTCCAGAGCCTGTAGCCCGTTAGGCCCCTTTGATTGTTTAAGCTGCCGGACTCCTCATAATAATATTTTAGGTGCATAAAATTAAATATATAGGGTCACAAAGGAAACCAATTATAAATAAACGGCTATTTAAAAAAAAAAAGTTCATGGACCCTAGATTAAGAACTCTTGATATACTCATGCCCAGAAAGTTTCATACTCCCAAAATGCTATAAAACTGCATATTAGGTCTGTATCCCAAAGACATCATAACAAAGCAAGAAGGACCCATATGTACAAAAATATTTATAGCAGCTTTTTTTGTGGTGGCCAGGAATTGGAAATTGAGGGGATGCTCATCAATTGGGGAATGGCTGAACAAGTTGTGGTATATGAATGTAAAATGGAATACTATTGTTCCATAAGAAATGATGAGCAGGCAGATTTCAGAAAAACCTGGGAAGACATACTGATGCTGAGTGAAGTGAGCAGAACCAGGAAAACATTGTATATAGTAAGAGCAACATTGTGCGATGACCAACTTTGATAGACTCAACTCTTCTCAGCAATACTATGATCGAAGACAATTTGGAAAGACTCATGATAGAAAACACTATCCATATCCAGATAAAGAACTATGGAATTTGAATGCAGATCGAAGCATACTATTTTTCCTTTTTTTTTCTTTCTCGTGGTTTTTCCCTTTGGTCCTAATTCATCTTTACAACATGACTATTGTAGAAATATGTTTAATATGATTGTACATGTATGGCCTATATCAGATTGCACACCATCTTGGTGAGGCAGTAGAGGAAGGAGGGGGATAAAATTTAAAACTCAAAATCTCATAAAAATGAATGTTCAAGACTACAAATAAATACATATAAAAAAAGAAAGTCTTAGTTCAGGTAAAACCTTGTATAGCTTACAGTTGTTAAAACAACCCTCTGAGATAGGTTTCCCCCAAGTAATATTATTAACTTCATTTTTATGGACTGAAATGCTGGTCTTAGAGTCAGGAAGACCTAGGTTCAGATCCCATCTCTTGACACTGTTACCTTAGGCAAGTCATTTTATCTGTAGGTGCTTCAGGCAACCCCCTGGACTTTTTTTTTTTTTTAACTAAATCCAAAGATAGGTTCTAGATTTATATTCTCCCTGATTCCACTACATTCTACTGTAGTGCCAATTAGACTGGAAATGTCTTTGGTCAGAAGAAGAGAGTGTGTTAAAGGCAACACAAATATAATCTGTCCAAGAAAAATAGGGCATGCTCTATAGATAGTGGTGTAATTCCCTGGGGGAGGAGTAGTGTGAATTCTGCTACCTATCTCAGAGGGCTGATCTAACTGCCCTGCAAGCTTTACTTTTCCTACTGGTTTTATTTCCACTATTGAGAAAGTCTTTGGATTGTTATGGGCTTTAATGCTTTTTTGGATCAGATCATGTCGTTGAAATGTATCTACAGGTGGGAATTTCTGTGACTCACTTTTCCCACAAGAAAATTTTCCCTTCTCAAAGGAGAAGCTTTTTTGTCCTCTTAGCAGGGATCTCCTGGTGTGTGTATGGGGTGTGTAGGTACTAGATGTCTACCAGATAATGTAAAGACAATGATCTCCTTAGCAAACATCTCTAACAAGATCAGATTTTGGCCTTATACTTCCAAGCTACATTTGAACAGGCATTTTAAAAACACGTTGAAACTGAAAGCAAGGGCTCATGGGCAGCTGTGTTCATGTTCCTGCACAGGTGATTAATAATTACTCGTTTAGCACGAATTACAAATCACCAGATGAGGGGGGAATTCCTGGCTTCTCTCCTAGGTACCCTCCACCCCACCCCACCCCACCCCCATAATTTCTTCTTTAACCATGCCTAGTTGTGATACCGGGACACTGACAGGCAAATGGGAAAGAGAGGCAAGTGCTATTCTAGTCCCCAGATCCACAAGATAACAGGTGGAATACAGGATCCAATCTGCAGAAGGCCACCGTGGGCCACCTTGAAAATACAGCTAGAGAACAACTTGTAAGGTGCTAGGAGAAAATGCTTCCTTTGCTCCTGAAGCTGAAAACTACAAGGTGAGAAACCACAGAGTAGCTAGCTACAGAGTACAGAGAGTTTAAGCATTTTGCCCAGCTAGGAAATGGCAAATGGTAAAGTCAGAGTTCAGAACCAGCTCTTTAGGATTCTGAAGTCTTGCTCCTTGATCCTCCACTATTCGTGAGACCTGACCAGTAGTGCCATCTTCTTGCCCTTCTAACAGCAACTTTCAGTTTGTACTATTACTCTGTGACACGTTCATCCTAGGTACAGAAAACCCTGACTATGCCACTGACTAAATCCACTGTATGTCTTATAGACACATCACAAACCCAATTCACAGAATTTCAGAGTCTAAAGGAAACTCAGAGCCATCCAGTCCAACCCATACTGAAAAAACATCTCTCCTTAAGTGGTCATCCAGTCTTTGCTTGAAGGTCACATTGAAACTAGCTTCTCTTAACATTACTAGTTCTGTTAATTGGCAATATCATTTCCCCAGTAACCCAGACTCTTGAAATTTCAATCACCTTTGACTCCTCCCTCTCCCTTGTCCCTGAATCCAATATGTAGTCAAGTAGTTACTTCCACAATATCCTTTGGATCTGTTCCTTTCTTTCTATCTGACTACGTTTATACATTACCAACTTCACCATTTTAGTTCAAGCCATATTACTTCTAGCCTGGCTTATATTTGAGTGCCCTCCTAACTTACTTCCCTAAATCTAGTCAATACTGCTCACCTCATTCTTTCCATTCCTGACAGATAATTTTTTCTAATATACAGATTTGATCACGGCCCTTTCCCACTCAAAATGAAAGTGATTCCATTTTGACTACCAAATAAAGAGTAGATTGTTGCTTAGCCATTGTCCACTTGACTCCCCAGCCTATATTTCTAACCTTATTTTGAGTTGTTTTTTTTTAAACATACCCTTTATTTTAGCCAAATTGGATTACTGGCCCAAAAATATCTCATGCTTTTCCTGTTCTGAAAGATTGGTTGGGGCCAGTTTGTGAAGGGTTTTTAACACCAAACAAAGGAAATTATATTTTGGCTTGGAAACAGTAGAGAGCCATTGAAGTAGAGAAGGCAAGAGACATGATCAGATCTCGTCTTAAGAAAAATAACTTTTGGAATCAGGGTGGAGGTTGGACTAGAGTAGAGACTTGGGACAGGGAGACCAGTAAGAAGGCTGTTGCTTTAATTTATTAATTATTACTCACTTTAATTAATTAATA